AGAAACCTCTTTGAATAATCCAGTTTAGGAAACATATTCCTAAGAAAGCAGATTCATAGGTGCTTCTTGTCTACCTGTGAATGTATGGGAGGCTTCAATGAACTAATTCTAAGCACCATGTGGAAATAACAGCCAAATACAACAATAAAGTACAACAATATACAATAAAAAGTAATAATGTAGTTCAATTAAAACTTAGAATTAATCACAATAATGATTACTTTGTTTTCATGTTGTTTCAAAAGCAAATGCTTGTTTCCAAAATTCTTTTTGCTGCTTCCTTTTAAAAATAAGTATAAATTGGAAACCCAAAGCAATCTTTTTTATTAACTACTTTTTATTACTCAAAGAATGGTGTTATTCATGTGCTGTGCTGCTGGGCCTGATATAAAAAAGATAAAAGGGAGCTCTTGAAAAGGGTTCATCCTTTTCCATTAGTTATTGTGTGGCCAAGGCTAGCGGGAATCCTACTTCCTGTGAGACAACACAGAATTTCTATTTTATTTCAGATTGGAAAGTATCAATGCCTGTCAGAGTATTTGCATCCTAAAACTTTTAATAAACAACTAGCTAAAGGATCTGGAAAACTAAAATGGGACTACCGATCTAAGAGACAACAAGTTGCTTTCTGTATTTCACAGCAAATTGAAGTTCCATCTGCCTGTCTGTACTAGTCCTGATCTCCAAACAAGATACCACCATTTGCCAATGAAAGGAGATCCATAAAATGTGAAGGAACTCCAGCTAGGCTTGACTGACCCAAAGGGGAACATTGTAGTTGGTAGAACTTAAAATTCTTCACACTATAATGTTTTGCTGCAGGCTGAGCTTCTATACAATGTTAGCAATGATAGCTATAAAATATAACTTCTTAGAAAGCATTGGCGTTTATGTACAGTAAGGAAGAAGAGAAGGGGTGCATGAATTGTATAAACCCTTTTGTGACATTACCTTCACAAAAATCATACTTGTTTGCTACTGGTTAGATCTAATTGCAAATTTCCCTGTTTAATAATCACAGATTGTTATGTCTATTGATGGTTAAAACGAGCTAGGGCTTGGACATTTTCATCCTCCTTCAAACTGCTTCCTGACACCTGGCTCACCATGTCATCATGTCATTGTTTCTGATTGTCAAAAGCAGCTTATTTTAAATGAGAAGTTATTCAGGAGACTAAGGCCCTCAACTTGGGCGTTTTGAACCAGCTACGTGCATGTTAATTTTTTAACCATATAAGATAGCTTTTATTTTAACTATGTTGGTTCTTCGTAGACAGGGATTGTATCAAAGTAAATTTATATTGAGATAAGGTAAATCTTATTGCCATCCAGTATTGGTCATCTGGATTTTTACAGTCCAAATTTGGTAGTGGTGATTCGGTCATTTCTGACTCATAGACAGAACAGTGTTAGCAACTGTCTCTTTAAAACTTTGTAAACTCATGTTTGTCTTAACTTCTAGCTCTCTTATCTTCTGTCAGATTCTTTTTCTATTGTCTTTGATTTTTGCAACATCAGGATCTTCAACAATGACTCTTGACTTCACAAGTCCAAAATATTTAAGATTTAGCTTCATTCTCGATGCTGTCAGTGAGCAATCTGATTTTACTTCATCCAGTATGAATTATTGTTTTACTTGTGATTCAAAATATTTTCAACAATTTTCTCAAGCACTGCAATTCAAATACATTATTTTTTTCAGACTTTCTGATGACCCATTTTCACAACATTACAACTGAGAAATCACAGTCTTGGCAATATCTATTGTCAGTGTGCGATTTGTTTGCACTTTAATATTGTACCTAGTTTATCACATGGCTACAATCCCTGTCCTGTAAACCTTTGAGCCTAGGAAGATAAAGCATGTTATTACTTCAGCTTCATTTGCACTGCTTTGTCTCATCTTTTACAAGAAATTCCTTAAATCTTCCTTTCAGCAATCAGTATGGTATAACCAGCATATTTAGGTAGTAGATGCTTTTCCAGGAATTTTAATTCAAATTTCTATTTTTCTAGTTCTTGTATACCTCTGGATACAAGTTAAATAAGGTGACCTGAGTTTTCGCATTTACTAATGTCAGAGCATGCACAGTCTTATTGTGCTGAGGTAACCCATGAGTAAATACAGTAAATTGGTTTGTATTAAATGGTGATTTGTATTACACTATCTACAATATACACTAGGAACAAAATACATACACATGGTAATACAGCAAACTCCAACACACAGCAGTTACAGCAGGAAACGGACAAGAGAGAACACAGCAGCAAAAGCCTTCCCTTTTATACTCAGGCTCTTAAAGGGATACAGACACCTGCTGAGTCATTCCTATCATTGCATCATCCACCTTACATTACATCATTATATAAGCTGTTTAGCTATTAAATTATTACCTTGACAACTCATTACTCTCATGTTGTCCAGATCTTCTTCCCAACCTCAGTGATATTCTGTAGGGAGGTATTTTTGTCATAAAATAGGAGGCTCCAGTTTTTAAGAAAACTCCACAAACTCCATAAACATATTGATTCTCCTTAAAAATGGAATACTACCTGCTTTCAGAACAGCAAAAGATTGCCATGAGGCGGGTAGCCTCTGTAAGAAAGCTGAGCCTTACATCGTCAGGTGCCTCTGCAAAAAGCAAAAGGGTAAATTGGGTGCTGCTGGGCCCTGGACCTGGGCGAGGAGTAGGCCAAATTTGAGTTCCCAGGTACCAGTAGCTTCTGCTGTCCGGCTTTAGGCTGCCTTAGGTGGCTGAGTGGCCAGGTTGGGAGGAGGTCAAGGCCTGTGAAGACCTCAAGGAGCAGAGAACAGAGCATTGAATGCGTCAGGGTGATGGAGCCCTGGGGCAGATGGGCCTTGACCTGGGCTAGGTCTCCCAGGGCCTCCATTTGAGGCTCCCTGTGCTTTGCTTAATGACTTGGACATTCTTTTAATGGCCACATCAGGGAGAACAGGGAGTGCTGGTCATCAAGCAAGGCTGTCTCACTTAACAGCTGTGACAACATGCAGCCATAATGGGCAGGCTCGATTATGGTCATATCTCAAGGACTACGTGTAATGATTTTTGCATCTAACAGTAAAAGATCTGATTCTCCTCTAATGTGAAGTGACCAGTTCCAGATGTCTTTTTGACAGATTGCCAGAATATCAGTGTTAAATCTTGACATTTCTACTCCATCAAAATCTAGTTTCCTTGTTTCACAACTGACATTCCATATGCTAGTATCTTTGCAGCATTGAACTTTCCTTTTTCTCTGACCATATATACCTGAATGTTTTTGGATGTCCTTTCAGTTTTAATCCAGAGTATAACAATGCTATTTATACCTGCCTTGTACTTTCCCCCCAGTAATCAGTTGAATAATTTCCAAAGTAGGGAGCTTGTGTCATATTAACATTGTCCTGGTTGTCAATGCCCATTTGGTTTTCTTGACAGAATAGTGGAGTCAATGACAATTTTCTTCTCCAGGGAATTGTATTTAATAAGACCCTTGTCTGTGACTTGCTTACCATGGGTTACCTTGTTGGGAATATGCACTCCTATCTATACAGTTTTTAGCATCGTTGGGCTGTGCAAGCTTCCATTCGGTAATACTTCATGAAGGAGCCAGATTTTGGTAGCCATATCTTAAGGTACTCTTTTTGGAAAAAATGCTTCAGGGCCACTGATGTTTCTAATTTTCAACCTAGTCATGCTGATGTTCATATGAATGAATACAAATGATAGAGTTCTAAGCAGAGGGACCTATACTACAGGGAGAGACTCCATCCAGTTCACGTGCTGTATCTTCTCTTATTTGATGCAGGGAGTTCAGAATTGTTTGATCCCATGCCAGGCCATGGAACCAGGCCACTTCTTTTTGCATCCAAAAAGAGGGTCAAATTAAAGCTATCCATTTCACACCATTTTCTCTAATTAAAATCACATAAAGTACAACACTGCATTTTTCCTTTCAGGGAAGTTAAATATGCATTTTATTTTTTTTTTTAAGGCGCAAATAGCAACTGGGGAATTTGAACCGGGACAAACATGGGGAAAGCCTCATCAATCCTAATCGTGCTTGCAACTGCTATTTGTAGCAATGTAGAGAGTAGAGAAACATTAATGTCTATTTTGGACATGTGATTAAAATATTTCCTACTGGTTCTCCAGGTTCTTTGCATATTATTTAAACAAATCATGTTATTTTATTTATTGGTTACATAATATTCTTTCCTCCTCCTACTTTTCCTGCAACAACCTGTAAAATGGGTTGGGCTGAGAGAATGGCTGGCCCAAGGTCACCCAGATAGATTTCATGCCTAAGGTAGGACTAGAACTCACAGTCTCCTGATTACTAGCCTGGTGTCTTAACCACTAAACCAAACTGGCTCTCTATAATTTCTTTATAGTTTCCTATTTGTCAAAATAAATATTTAATACTGACCCAAGAAATGGTAAGTCTGGACTGATTCTTTTCCGGTGTTTATCCCAGTTTTAATATGTTGTTTATTACATAATCTCTTATAAATTGTTTCTCTTTGTGTCAGTCCAAAGATATTTGTGCAGACCACCAGGATTATGCTCTCTTAATAGAGGAAATCCAATAATAAACCCTATAATTCAGGATAGGCAACTAGTTGATAATGCAGTTTAAAGTTTGGGACTGCTGGAGGAGTACAGTTTTTCTTAAACTTGGCAACTTAGAATGTGTGAGCTCATATTTTAAAGTTGCTAAGGATGAGAAGCACTGCTGAGATATTTCAATTTAACCTTCTGTCTTTTATTAGACTATATAACATTTGTTATGTGTCTCTGTCATTTAGTACCTTATTTTCAATGTTACTGGTATCATCTAAATAGAATATTAAGCTTGTCATAATATTCATTGTTATTGCTGTATTTTTAAGGTTTTCTAGAAGATGAATTCTATGTTTCATAGCAAGTCCTGCGTTTATTGGTCTAAAGCAGAATTGTATTTCTAAATATTTCTTTTTTTTTTTTTGTTCTCTGTAGGGATGTAATGTTATGGAAGATCAGGACCTTCGGGAAATTGGTATTAGTGATCCACAACATCGCAGAAAACTTCTCCAAGCAGCACGTTCCCTTCCTAAGGTTAAAATAATAATCTATTTTTACATACAGAAAAAATGTTTTCATGTCAGTGTAATGATGGATAGAAAACTACAAGGCATTTCTTAAATGTTATAATAGAGTTTATTTTGGTGATGGACTAGATTTGAAAATAAAACACATTAAAAAATGAATAAAACCCCCAAACAGAAAAAATATGTTACAATTAATGTTAAATATTTAACATTAGTTAAACTTAAATAAATTTATGATTATGACAGGTAGTGGGCAATCTGTAGACTTCAGGCTGCTTTCATATAGGCTTCAGCCTAATTTCAAAGCATCTTAATTTGGTTCAGATCTGTGATCACTCTGAGCTTCAAGCATGGGTAGGGACTTTGAATTGCATTTCTCCAATCTCACTATAACACTGTGGTAACCTGTTTATTCAATAGTGTCACTTTTTGAGAAAGCATAAAAGAGCTAGCATTTTTCTTTCATGTAGGAGGTCAAATTGTAAAGTATTGTAAAGGTAAAAGTTCCCCCTGTCCATCTGTGTCCATCCCTAAGGGGTGGTGCTCATCTCCATTTCCTAGCTGAGGGATTCAGCATTGTCTGAAGACGCTGCCATGGTCATGTGGCTGGCATGATTATATACTGAGGTGCACAGAATACTATTACTTTCCCACCTAAGTGGTACCTATTTTTCTACTTAAATTTGCATGTTTTTGAACTGCTAGGTTGGCAAGATTTGGGGCAAGAATTAGAGCTCACCCCATCATGTGATGCTTGGGTCTTGAAATGCCAACTTTCCAGTCGACAAGTCCAGCATGTTAACCGTTGTAGCAAAGCATCCGATGACAACACTGAATATTTCTCTGGTTGAATTGTTGTGAATTGCCAAGTTATACCTTTCCGTTAAGGGCCATTAGAAAAGTTTCTCATATGTGGAATAGACTGAAAGAACCTGTTTCCAAGAGATGGCAGGTTTTAAGTGTCATAAGTGGGATTTTATCTCTTGTTTTTTTTAATTTCTCACTAAATAGCAGCTGTGATTTTTGCACCCTAGGTATGAAGTCAGACTTATATAGTCAGGCTTATATAGTGACCTGTCCCCATAAGAGGACTGGTCAGCACTTTGTAGAATTAAAGACAGTGCTCTTTCTATGATAGTCTGGGACTAGCTAGCAAATTAGTATGGTATAATAGCTAAATCACTTTTCTAAGAAAACTTAGGGAAATTTAAAGGCATGATCTGATGTTTACCAGTTGTGCTGGTATATAGATTAGTTTGCACAAGACAGGATTGGGGGAAAACAAAAGCTGAATTCCATCTATTCAGTGTAGAATCTTAAAGAGCTTGTCATGTACCTTCTTAAATCAAGGCTTTTTGAGACAGCACATCTGGACGAAATTGGAGAATCAAATAGATTCTTACACAACTTTGTATACAGCTTATGGAGTTAATGGATACAATAAAAAGTTGTTGCTGCTTAAAAGGTATATTTTGAAAATAGTATATAAATAAGAGATAGGAATAAATCATATCATAGACTCTAAGTCAGTGGTTCTCAACCTTTCTAATGCCGTGACCCCATAATACAGTTCCCCATGTTGTGGTGACCCCCAAGTGGGTGTGGCCACCAATAAGAGGGAGTAGGACAGCTAGGGAAAAGGGAAAAAAATGGCGGACAGCATGGTTTGGCGACCCCCATGAAATGGTCGTTTGACCCCAAATGGGGTCCCGACCCACAGGTTGAGAACCACTGCTCTAAGTAGTCTTCTATGGTAGGGATTTTGTTCATAAAATAACTAGAACAAGAATGCATGACCATAGACATTTACCTAAAAAGGAAGACTACTGGAAGCTAAAACTGTTTCTGTGTGTCTGTTTCCTGAACTGCTGCAGCAGCTGGCATTAATTGAACTGGAAAACAGGGTATCTTCAAACATAGCTTGCCCAGAAGACTGGCAGAAAATAATATAAGAAGTAATTACCCCAACACACACACACACTTAAATTTCTTATTCTTTGTGGTTGTTATCCTTTTCTCCAATATTTCTGTAGACCCAACTTTCAAAGCAACATAAGATGATATCAGATTTGGGAACATGGCAATTCTTGTGAAGAATTTATGATCCAGATTTTCCTTTAGAACCCCCCCAAAATTGCTTCTTCTTTCAGCAATTTTAGGCAACTTCATAGTTCTTAGGCAGTACTAAAGTATATTGTATTATTGCACAAATCTGCTTGTTTTCCTTGAATTCCAGAAGGCTGTAGTTAACAAAAGGAAATGCAGTTGCATTCAGTTCCAAAGATGTAATATCTCAACTTTGACAAAGAAGACATTCTCTCTCCCTCTCCCTCCCTCTCCCTCCCTCCCTCTCTCTCTCTCTCTCTCTCTGTGTATCAGAGAGAGAGAGATTGTGAGTTTCTTTAGGTTCACTACATTATTCATAAAGATAAAGGAATATCTTCCAAGTCTATTTTTACTCCAGAGTTAAAAGCAATTGTTACAACCATCACAACTATTGTGAAACGGTATTAACATTATCTAATTTCTTTTCCATTCACACTTTAGGGGGCCACTATTGTATCATACCCAAACTAGGTATCTCCAGGCTCTGCTCCCATTGGATCTGTTAAGAAGTACATTTGACTGTAGATTTTAAAATTAGAGTGACAGTCTCACTAATGAGAGTGGCATCTTGCCTCTCCCCTTTCCTATTTTTTATGGCATAAAATCAATTTGACCTGGTTGTTAAGGGAACTGTGTGACTAACTAAACAGCACATGACACTGATTGCCCTTTTTCTATAAAAAAGAATTGTAGAGAGAGGGGTGTTGAACAGAAAAATATGTGTATGTCTGATGCAAAAGCTATTTGGAATAGCTAATAATTTTCATGGAATAGAAAATTAACATACTGGCATTAAACCTCTTCCCACCAATTTTGCCTTCCAAAATTGATACTTTATCAATACTTAATGGAAAAAGAGAAGAGCCATTGAGATCCAATTAAACTAAGTCATTTGCCCAATGATTTATTTCCACTTAATACAAATTATTTATACCATTTGTTAAAAAAACCTTGCATAGCTGAATGCAATCTGACAATCACATTGAAATATCTAAAATGTTTTAAGGGTTGTTCAGTTATAATGCTCTATTCTTTGTGTTCTTTACAGGTGAAATCTCTAGGCTATGATGGAACTCAACCTTCAGTCCCTGCGTGGCTTGATTCCTTGGGGCTTCAAGATTACATTCAGTCATTTCTGTCGAGTGGCTATAGCTCTATAGACTCAGTGAAAAACCTCTGGGAACTAGAATTAGTAAATGTAAGTTGATACTTTATTGAATTCCAGTTTAGATCAAAATTTGGACATTCACTGTGTTAGGATAAACCTTAGCATTGTAACTATTTGAGAGAAAGTGTGGAGAGCCATAACATGAGAATCTTTAGTAACAGTATATGCTAACTTTGCCCTTCTCTCCAGGTACTCAAGGTGAATCTTCTTGGGCATCGTAAACGTATAATAGCGTCTCTGGCAGACAGACCATATGAGGAACCCCCACAGAAGCCACCAAGGTTCTCTCAACTAAGAGTGAGTTTTCAGTGTCTGCTCAGTAATAGTTTAGAGAATTATGAAGAATAGCACCATGGTTGTGTTTATGGGTCTTGTTACTCATTCAGATTTTTTTTTTTAACTAAGAAAGGTCTACAAAATAAATATTTTTTCTTTAAAAAAATCTCACTAGAAAGTGGAATTCAAAGTGCTAATTTTGATATATGAAATGTTATATGATTTGGAACCAAAGTAATTCCAGGACTGCTTAATCAGAATGCACTTCCTGAAGACAAGAGGAACTTCTACTGGCATTCTGGGTCAGAGAAGTGCAAAGGGGGAGGCCAGAAAGCTTCTGGCTTTGCAGAAGTTAGCAAAGACCCAAGTTTTTCTGAAACATCTTCAAGGAATTATTGTTAATCAATATTTCAGTTTGTATTTTTTGGTTCTTGATAATTTTGATTTGTTTTGAAAATGATTTTACTGTTTTGTGATATTATTGGTGTGTTTTTTCCCTTAACTATGGATGTTTTAATATAATTTATATTGCTACAATCCACTGAGAGCCTAGATAGCTTGGTTGCATATGTATTTTAATAATGATCATAATTATAATATAAAACGTATATAGACATTGACCTGCTTGGTATGCATATAAGTGACTTTGAAAATAATCAACAAAACAAGAGGGTTTTTTTTTTAAAAAAATGTCAATTTCTTGAATTTCAGTGCCAGGATTTGATATCCCAGACATCTTCACCTCTGAGTCAGAGTGACTCTTGCACAGGGAGGTCTGCAGATCTCCTGCTGCCTTTGGAAGATGCTGGGAAGAAGAGACATGAGAACATCCATGATATTGCATCTTATCCAAGAGCAGAGAAGTTTAGGACACAGGTCAGAAAAATCTGATCCCTTGAAATCATTTTGATAGTTTATCTTTGGAGATTATTGTATATTTCATAGAAAAAATGCCCAGTCTTGCAGTATCTATATCAGTTTTTCTGGCTGGAGAATATGGCTATATTCACTGTAAAAACAACAGCAATACTCTGTATTTCCAAAAAGGATGTGTGGGAAGGGATGTGACTAGTTCTGAATATTTTCTTGACACTGTGTCTGGGGATGGGAATGATTGATTCTTTCTTCCTCCAGTGGAGTAGCCAATTAATTCAAGCCAGTTTCTGTCTCCATATCTTGTATTGTTTGGCACTGGCACTGTGCCACAGGCAATTATAGTTCACCACAGGGACCAGGTATTATATGATCACAGAGTTGATAATTATACAGATGAATGTATGTTTTAGTTAGACAACAGTTGTTGAAGTAACAGTTGTTAAAAAGTTAAAGTAAACTGTGACCACAGTTTGTCAAATTAGCCTATCTCAATCCATTCTGTAAAGCAATAGAGCTCAGAACAGGACTTTTAACAATTCCTTCCACAGGACCTATACAGCACCAGCTAAGTTAGCAGTTACACTTTTTAATTTATTTATTTTGTTTATAAATTTTATTGTCCCTCCATTTTAACACAGAGTAACTCTGGGTGGAGTTTTCATCAGTAGCCTAAAATCTTTGAAAATTTTAAGAATTTCGTAAAGTAACATCATATTTTGCTGAAAAGTGTTTGAAATCCTGATTTTCACTAAGCCTTTAAGTAACAGTTTTAAACATTTTAGTGTGATTATTTTTATATACTTTTTACATAGCTGTAGATATTTATATACATAAAGAGAAGTGTGTATATTTATATATATTTAGATATAGAGGGTTTTTTGGAATACATGACTTGAAATGAATGTAATCTGTTTGGTTTCTTTATTTATTAATTAGTTCCTAATGAAAAGTTCTGATTTGAACAATTATTTGTGTTGTAGGAGGAACATCGTGAATCAAAGCTTACACTCAGACCTCCTAGTCTGGCAACTCCCTATGCTCCCGTCCAGCACTGGCAGCATCAGCCAGAGAAACTTATATTTGAGTCCTGCGAGTATGAAGCCAATGTAAGTATATTCTTGATTCTTGTGCATAATCTTGTAGTCCTCATACATTTTTATTGATTGCTACTTACTTTAGTCAAGTTAGGTTTACTAAGCTTACAAAGCTAATTTCAGCTGATGTGGCAGAATCTCCAGCTAGAGTAGAGGGGGAAATGACGAAGCAGTCTAACATGGCGTCTCTGTGAGAGGAAGCTACAGAGGCCAGCTCTTGAAGCCCTGACCTGCCTGTTCCCAAGAGAATGCAGTTAGTCTGGCAAGATTCTTCTGAACAGAGGAATAACAATAAAGTACTATGGCCTACTCATGGAGTTGTTCTGTTTTCTTGTGCTGACCTTATATGTACAAATAATTATACTATCAAGTGCTTACTATTTTCCTGCTTTAAACAGTATCTGGGGTCCATGTTAATCAAAGATCTTCGAGGAACAGAATCTACACAAGATGCCTGTGCAAAAATGAGGGTAAGTATGGAATTTATAAAAATTATTTTGATACCAAGGAAAAATAAATTATGTAATGTATAATTCCACAATTGAAGATTCTGCTCAGGATGTAGACTAAACTTATTAAATGCAAATACTTTTTTAGTATTCATTATCCTAAGCTACCATTTGGCCATAACTGTTTAACAGATTCAGTATAAACTTTTAAAGTATTTTGAAGTCTCTTTCCAAGCTCTGGTCCCTTGTGACATTGTTTTAAAAACCCAAATTGTAACAGTTGTGTTCCAGCAGCAATAAAGATCTTCAAGCACAGGTTATGAATCATTTGGCACTGATTCTCAGATCTGTAATTATCTTTACTCCTCCCAAGATTATCCAGAATACATTTTTAATGGCTTTATTGCAAGTTTCTGGCATATTGAAACTCCATTAAGACTAGAATCTGTTTTAATTTCTATAGAAATGTACATGAAGTGCTGCTACTTAAAATTTTGGCATAAATATTCTTTGCAAGCTTTGTAGCCCCCTTGATTGTACAAGTTAATTTTTCAACAATATGATTGGTAGAAAATAATTTCAACCAAAAAATTTGCAGTATTTCTGGCCAACATCTTTGGTTTGAGTTGAAATAGTAAGTATTTGACATAGATTTGCAAAATGATTTAAATTCTGGTTTCATCTGAATTATGGTGGGCTTGTATGAAAAATCCTTTTCAACTGCCACTTTGCTAATATTTTATTTCTGTCTCACAAGAGAACTGTAGTTTAGCCATTATTGATGTTTTTTCTTCATCTCTGCTGGGAGATTAACAGCATCTTCTTGCAAATGCCCTAATGGGAGAAGTTGAACCAGTGCTTTGAATTAGTATTTTATGTTGTTTCTTTTATTTGACTTGCCCAAAAGTTTGATAGTGTTTTTAATAATAGTCATAGAAGTTTAGAAAAGGAAATTATTCTATTCCCCCCAGTCCACAGGTCAACTGCAATTTCTAAAAGAATTGCAAAATTCTGTTAAGTTTACGTCGTTGTCTCTCTCATGATATACTAGCCTGTCACTCCATTTTAGTTTGTTTGTGTGTGTCAGTGTTCTCTGACTATAATCTAATTTTCAGCATTTTTAACTCAAGAATTTAGATTTTTTCTTTTATTATGTAATATTTCACTGCATTCCAGATCTCAGAAATGCAGCTCTATAAAATATTATTGCAAAATATCTTATTTCTGTAATTATTACTTTGAAAACTTAAACTGAAGTGAGAGAATTTGAAATATTTTGTGCACATGGTCTCCATTCTTGAGAAATTATTTAATCTGTGTCTATTAACTGTTTTTCCCTCTTTTATAAAGAAATCAACTGAGCATATGAAGAAAACCCCAACAATAATATTATCTATTACTTATAAAGGAGTGAAGTTCATAGATGCTGCTAATAAGGTAAGAAAATCCTTGCATTCATGATTAATATTCCAGCCTTAAGTGAAAAATGATAGTGCTGCAATAACATGAACATAATATCAATCTATTCTGAAAATCCTCAGGCCTGATTAGTAGAAAGACAAAGTATTCTGACAAAAGTGTAGCCCTGCACTGAGATGGGAGGTAAATACAAGTAGTCCTCGAATTACGAGTGTAATGGAGCCTATCCATTCCACTCATAACTCGAAAGCTCGTAGAGTGAATCTTGTAGAGTGATACGAGATCACTCCCTCGCTCATTAAAACGCATGTGGTCGGTTAAGAGAACATGAGCTATCTCAGGGTGGGGAAGTGCTGGAACAGGCCACCAAGGCCTCCCCAACCATGATAACACATGCTTTCCCCTCCCTGCCGCGCTAGACTCACCTGGAAAAGATCCGTCTCCTATCTGCCGCGGTTCCTGCCGCTGCCTGGATTTGAGGCTGGGGAATGCTTCCGCAACCCTCCCACGGCCCAATCCGGGCTCCAAAGGCCTTTTCCACGCCCGATCAGAAGCGTTCCCCAGCCTCAAATCCTGGCCGCAGCAGCCTGGGAAAGGCCTCCAGAGGCACAGGGAAATGTCTCCCAACTTCGGTTTCATTCTCTGTGGCAGAGAATAGAGGCCTAAAGCACCATGAGATCACATGAGATCAGTAGCGTGAGATCTCGCCCCACTGATCTTGCGTGATCTTGCATTACTTTAAGCCTATATTCTCTGCGAACGTGCTGAAGGCCTGGAGCAGCCAAGAAAGCGAAGGATCTCAATCTTCGCAGGGTGAATATTGAAGGCCTGGTGCCTAGGGAGACCCAGGCTGGGGTGGGGAGGGAATAACCACGGTGAATGTTACAGAGTCACTGCAGTCACTCGTAAGAGCGATATTTGTAATTTCAGGACTTGCTCGTAAGCACTGGGGGCACTCATCACGTAACTTTGAACAAGCATTAAGTGAACACTCATAACTCGGGGATTACCTGTACATACATACATATTTTTTATAAAGATTGTCAGATTGATTTGTCTTTATCAAGTGCTACTTCTTTCTCTCTGACGCAGTTGCACAGCTGTAACTCGTCTGTTACAGTTGCTATTAGGCAACTCAAGCTACCACATCCTGCTTCTACCCTGAAGTTTGGTCAGTCATATGCAGCCTCCACCTGGGCATATTGTGCCACAAAAAGGAAGCCTCAACTACATACCTAGGTTACCTTGATGGCAGTAATTGGTAGCAAAATGTTGTGTTGAAGTCCCAAGTCCAGTCCCTGGCAACTACAAGATAGAATTGGGAACCTAGTCTCTCCTGAACATCTACATTTACAAATGTAGTTTTGCAGTGTAGACAATATTGAGCTAAAGGGATCGATGGTTTGTAGCAGAAGGCAAATTTCAGTGTGAGCAGTGTGTAATTTTTATGGAAGTACAAAGTAACACAATGAAACTTTGTTTTGTTAATATTTACTTATGGTAATTTTACTATACAAATTGAGTAAAACAACTGTTTATGTATTGCAGAATGTAATTGCTGAACATGAAATTCGGAACATCTCTTGTGCTGCCCAAGATCCAGACGATCTCTGTACATTTGCCTATATCACTAAGGATTTGCAAACTAGTCACCACTACTGTCATGTCTTCAGTACTATTGATGTAGTAAGTAATATAACAATCAGTGCTTTTTTTATGGAGACTTTGTATTCTGTTTAATGATGTTCATCTGTAAGTCACTGGGCTGGAATGAAATCCTCTGTGAACAGGAAGTAAATACCAAGTGCTAGAATGCAAGACTATAAGAAATATATATGCCCCCTCTTTAAATTGTCTCTGGATATGAAGGGATCAAATATGCGTTGTGGGGCCAATATATTTTGTCACTACTTTCAAACATAATACTCAAAAATAACTTTCAGTATTAAAAATAAAAAGAAAGTTTCTTTAGTTTTGTAAGTTTAATGACAAAGTATTTTTCTCAGTATATATTCCTTATTCAGATCCCATTAATGTATATATAACAAGCAATTTAAAAACTGGCAACATATGTAATAACATCACACAGATGCCAATTATGTACTGCCAGTTGTCATTTAATGCGAATAACAACTCTTAGCATTTGTGTGATGTCATCATCACGCATGTGTCTTCATTTGCCTTCCCTTCTCTCTCTCTGCTTTCTTTCTCCCATGTAGATCAATTGCATTCAGATTTGAATATAAAATAACAAAATTTTATCAGTGAACATCATATTGTTCATTTGCTTCTTATTTTGAAACTTAAAAAAGAACCTACAATGCTTTTTTTTGCAAAAAATAGCTCTTCCAGGTTTCCTTCAGAAGTGTTGCAACTTTCATCATTATGGTATCAAATGGATATAGCATTTTACACTTTTGGAGAATACCATGTTAAGGAAGGCTTGTATTGGAAGAGGAGCGGAGTATACCAGAATTCAAGGAAAGAGTGTTGTTGCATGCATTTGTATGCAAACTCTATGATGTTAATATGGAACTATGCTAATAGTGTAGAATTCTAAAGTCTTCTTCAAATCCTAAATATCTTATTATAGCAGAAATAGTTCAAGTTCCTTCCTAATTAAGTAGTTTTATCTCTGCATTAATAAAAAAGGGAAATGGTTGCATTTTAAAAAATGATTGAATTCAGCATTTTTAAACGTAGGAGATGTACTGCTGTCCATACTTCATAATTTTTAAAGTTCATAAAAAATAGATTTCCAAAGGGCATTCAAAGATATGTTAAACATACAGTGCCACTTGAAAATAATGAAAATAAAATGAGATAACAGTAGCTGATTTACAATTGCAATGGACCTGCCCATTCTGTTCACAAATAGTGACAGTTGTTAAATAAGATGCACTCATGACCATCTTGCTTAATGACCTCTATCCCTGCTGTCCCCAATGCAGCTAAGTGACCACATGGGTCATTAAGTGGAATACCAGGTGCTTTACAAATGATGAAAAATCTTGCCTTGCTTCCCCAGTACCTTAGGTTCTGTACTGCTGTACTATCAGTCTTTGGGCAATAAAAGCAGTATTGATTACATGAATATTGAGGATAGGATTATTTTTTCCCCTGGAATCCAATAAACCCCCAGAAGCTGATTGCTTTGTGTATTTTTGGAAGACCTCAAAGAAATAGGCTAAAGAAGGAAAAAATAAAACTGACTCAAGATTCATAAAGCTGGATATTTTATTATTTATTTATCATTACCACTGATCTGCCTCAGAGAGGGACTCTGTTTCTTTATGCAACATTAGTTCTTCCTTCTTAGTCTGCTCACAAGGGTAGGGATGGTCAGGGTATATAGCAATAGCTCTCTTTGGAACAGGAGATTGAATTTTAATATAGAAGATAATCCAAAATGGCCTATAAAAACACCCTTAGAAATAATGTCTAATAATATTTTATCCAACCCTTTTAATTGAGTCCTACTGGAATTGATTGGCTGGTGGAAATGAGTTTTGATGGTCCTGTTCATCCATATTGATCAAAAAATTCAAATCCCAAAATGCTCAGAGTAGACAGATATGATTTCTGTCCATAGGTATTTATTGCAAGCCACAATACAAAAATAATAAGCATGCAGGAGCATCACAATATAAGCTTCACCTTTCCATATTTGTTTGATTTCCAATGCCAAGTACTTGACTTGGGGGAGGGGAGAGGCTTACAACATTATCACTTCCTTCCCATGCATGTCTTCCCATATGTGGACATCTATTTTCTATAAAAATATCACTATATTCAGCAAATTATATGCTGAAATGTAGGTTGGTTCAACAGAATTGAACAGCTGACTTTAGGAATAGTGGGGTGTCTGCCAAACCTAACACAGTAAATATATGTCCTTCAGTTTGATACCATTAGAAATGGTGTTTAAATCAGAGATCTTTTTGTTGGGTATTTTAAATAGAAAATACAGTAAAGAAATATGGTACTTAATTTTACATATAATAACGGTGGCAAGAATAGCATATGCTCAGTGCTGGAAAAATGAGAATATACCATCAGAGGAAGAAGTAATAAGAAAAATCCTGGACTGTGCTGAGATGGACAAATTAACAAAAGAGATAAAAGAAAAGGAAGACACAGAGTATTATATAGTATGGAACAAGGTGTATGTCTGGTTGGAGACTAGAAATAATAGAGGAGAATAAATATGGAAAGGTCAAAAGTGAAAATATGTGTACAATAATGTATAATAATAATATGAATTATTCTTAGTAAGAAGTAGAACATGAAGGAAGAAAAATGTAAATAAGAAATAATGGGGCTATAAGGACAAATATTTAAAGAAGAATAAGGGGGAAATGTAAATATTAGATTACCGTTACGTAATTGCTGTAAAAAAAGGAGTATATATTGTGTGTGTATGTGTGTTATGTTTTGCTTTGTTCTGTTTTGTCTTGTTGGTTAAAAATAAAAATTAAAAAAAAAAAAGAAATGGTGTTTAAGAATCTAGACTGATATTTATTTTTCCTCATATAGAATTGTCTAATAGTATGTTGTGAAATATTATATCCACACAAAAATTTCAGATTTCAGGAGATCCCAAAACAGAAGTGTATGAACAAAAATAGTATTCATATTTATTACTCTGTAATTGAAATTCTTGCTAATTCTCTCATATACCCTTCTATATAGTATTCCTATATTGAAATAATCTTGCAATACTTTCAATAACCCATTCTTTGAGGATTTTACATGCACTTTACATTTATTGAAAAGAGGAACTTACTGTTAAATACCAAGGTAATTAGTTAGCTGAAATTTCATATTAAAGGAACCAAATGTTATATGGTGGCTAATTCCATAAAATAACATTTAGTCAGTTCCTTGGAGGTGTAGCTTAGTTTTTTGTTTCACTTTTAATGATAGAAGATCCATTGTAGAGTATCTTCAGAATTAAGACCCTCTACAACAGGGATGTCAAACTGCCGGCCCACAGGCCGAACGCGTCATGTGGAAGCCACGCCTACCACATTGCCGGCAATGGCAAAACCAGCCCGATACGTTGCCCGACATCACATGACGTCGTGAGTTTGACATGCCTGCTCTACAGTGTGGAGGATGTTCAGGATTAAGACAAATTTAGTAAGAGAAAAAATTTAGTTATTTTATGTATTTATTGTTGGTCACTAACTATATGCAGGATTCATACACTATGTATGTTTCTAATGTGTCTTTTTTTAGTTGAATGAATATAATAAACTGATAACGAATATCAGATTTAAGACTCAAAGTTTCCCCAGTAAAATATAACAGATTTCCTGTATTTTTAAATATTGTTCATATTTTGTTTCTTTTTTCCAAGAATCTAACATATGAAATCATTCTGACATTGGGGCAAGCATTTGAAGTAGCATACCAGTTGGCCCTTCAAGCTCAAAAATCAAAATCTCCAGCTGTTTTGACTGCAGAAATGATAGAAACAAAATCTTCAAAACCAGTGCCTAAACCTCGAGTCAGCATGAGAAAGTCAGCAGTATGTATATCACATGCTTTTATCCATTCCTATAGAACTATGCACGTACTTAAATTTGTCAGAACACATCTTTCTAAATCTATCTACTTTCTGTACAAGACTGTTATTTTTTAATCTTTTATTTCAACAAATGTTCTAGAGCTCCCCAACCTTTGCGGCCCAGGTGTTGGGGACCCCTGGTCTAGAGAAAGGATTGGCTCTCTGTGGCACTCAAGCTCAAGCTTTTAATACTATCACATAACCCACTGAACATGTTTGGAAACCCATAATGTATTGTTCTTGGGAGGGGAATGTCCAGAGAAATGTAATATTAGAATTGGCACCCCCTCCCCATGTTTTGCAGCTTTTCAACTTCCAAAATATCTTATCTGCCCTTTGACCACTTGAAGCTTTATGGGATAAAAGTATTTCTGTGCTTGAAAGAATTTTACGGCAAATTGTTCAAGCCATTCTGAGCAGTTTCAGTTTGAAAGCCTCTTTCCAGTTTGAAATCAGATCCAGATTATTTGGGGCATCCAACTTCAAATTCAGATTCAAACTGGAAATATTTTAAATATGAAATATTTACCCCAATTCTAAAAAGTTTGTCTCCCTCCCATAGAGACACTTCAGCTAAGTGAACATCAGTTATCAAAGAATAGAAAGAATATAAATTACTGCAGAAGTTGAACATTATTGAGAGTCAACGTTTATGTTTTAAAAACAAATATAGCAAAAATATCTGCCCATACAAAATATGGTTTTGTTATTTGGTACATATAATTTGAGAGCGGGGAATAGGATCACAGATTGCCCTTGGCTTCAATTAATTACTGTATATCATTAACAGTGGCAGAGTAGAAATGTTTTCTCTAAAAAGCTTTATGGGGAAGAGTGACCTACTGATCATTGGCATATTTTCTCAGCTTCTGACCTGATGAGGTGGATTTATTCATCCACTCTTAGTGTAATGCCTCACATTTTCTAACAACTGCATGAAATTGCTGATTTGCAGTTACATGGGAAACCACAAAAATCGTAAATATTAAGTAAAAATGATATCTTTATAATATCTGTGCTGTAAAATTACATTTTTCTTCATAATTGCTGTTGCTCAGGCATATCTACACTTCCCTTTAACATGAATCTATTTTTGTTGCAAAAACTACTTGGGCTTTTATGTCAGCAATATAAATGCTTTTATATGTATATATTGTTCTCTCAAGCTTCCCATCGTCCAACAGGAACAACAGAAACACATAATTAATGACACACAAATCCTACTTAGTTTCTATTCTTCAACACTCCAAGATTATCCCATTAATAGTCTTTGTTAATCTAACAAGAAAATAAATCTTCTGGACTTCTAACCCATAAGATTTCTTTCTTGGTTGCTGTCCTTTCTTACCTTCTGTGTTTTGCTTACTCCCATTCCTCAGGTGCCGCTCCCTTCTGATAGTCGCTGTTGTTACTGTCATACCTGTACCACACACCGTCCTTCCTATCTACCGCTGCAGTCTGTTAGTCCAGGAACTAAGGTCTTTACCCTTCTTGCAGTCAAGTTTCTAGTTATTAAGCTTTTATTTTAAGTGCACCAAATCTCCTTCAGACTCCTTCATTTCTTTATCTTAGCTTTGATGCTCTTTATTCCATTCTGGATTACAATTCCACTTTACATTATGTAAGGCAGATTTTGAAAAGTGTGCAGTAAACAATATTTGGACTGATCAGATTCAGTTTGGCAGGCAAAAAAGAGAATAAACTATAAAAATATATGAGTACAGTAAGTAGGAATGTTTTGCTTAAAAATCAGTTCAATATTATTTTTTACTGAAGTGCAACTAGATTGTAATTACATTTCAACAAAACTTAACTTGTTCATATTCTTAATGTGCTCATATTCTGAAATGAGCTATGCTATTTTTTTTTGATAGAAATCTGATACAGATTTTTCTGATGACTACATATATACCATATGCATGTACACATATTATGTTTAAATGCCAGACTAGCTATCGTCATCCCAAATCTGTCGGTCTCTGTACATTGGTTTAAAAATGCACCTAATTTTATACTTCCAAAGAAAAAAGTTTACCTGAAATGTTCTTTCTTTCCAATGTTTTCTAGCTGGAGCAATCTGAAGAGGACCAAGACTCCCAGTCCCATGCTGGTGTATCCTGGGTAGTAGAGCCCAAGCAGGATTCCAAGAGGACCCTCAGCACTAAGTATGAGACTACTATCTTCTGAAAACAAATCTACATCCAACCAGTCTAACTGTGCCTTTGCAGTTTGATCTGCCTGCTGTTCTAAACCTTCCTTTCCCCCCATTGCTGGCACTAGGCATGGTGCCACCAGAGGCAGCAGCATAGGATTATCATAGACTAAACAGCTTTTTGTATCCATTTTCTACTGAACACTGTGAATTCTCCTAAAGGAAACAAGGGTAACACATTGAGAGAGTCAGCTGTTTTTAGATATCTTGAGATGGGAGAAATGAAGCCTGTGGGAGTTCAATATATGGATTTGGGAAAATCAACTGGTGTTTTTGATTTTCTCTTCATGTTGACACTGTGAATATGGAGTGAATTTACATTCCATAGGGCTTTTCTGTTTAACATTCTTGTTACTGGATGGTTCTACAACTTTGTTCCCTTGTGTACATACTGTTGTAATCTAGATTTATATCTCCATACTAAGACATGGCCACAACTGTTCCATGTAGCATTCTTTTACCTGTCATCTCAAAAGACACTAATTACTGTGATATTGTTTGCAAATCTCTTGCTCACCTGATTTCTAGCATGAATCCTGTTCCCATTCTTTACTGTTTCTGGATACCGGAATGTATGGTATAATGTAAAAGGCAGCTAGGCACCATGATCCCCCCCTATTAAGCACTTTCTTTTTTCCTAGAAGTCAGACTTAATATAGATAATGTTAAACAGGAATGTTTCAGCTCTCCAAGTATTTCTGATTAGTCTGTGTAGGATTTACAGTTAGACCTTTCTGTTCATGTTAAGCAATCCACTTACAATTAACTGTTAACTCACATTTCCTGAACTTTAATTAGATTGCATCTTACAAAGATACACACTACTTGCTATAAATAAGGATCAGAGGCTGATAAATTATAAAATCAAGGCAAATGATAGGAAAAATGGATGGCATGTTAATGTTGTATTTAAACACAGTTAACTTTTAGAAGAAAATATATCCAGATTTTACACAGAATATTCCTAAATGTACAGCATTTCAGGCACATTGGAGTTTTCAAAATATTTGTAATTCATCTTTCTCCAGGCAGGCCAGTAAACAGTATCTGACTTCTTATGTCTTTCCAACACAAATTTTATTTAGTTTTTTTAAACCAAAGAATGCAAAGGTAGATTGAATTTTAAATTACTGGCCTTTCACTGACCCTGAATGCTTTCCTTCAAAGCAGCAAGCTTTGCTATTATTGTGGAATTAAATAGCCATTTTGGACAACTCCAAACGTTCAGTTTATTTTGCGAGATGAACTCTAAGGTCAGCTGTCCTTGCCTACTGTCCTTCAAATAATTTGTTCTCTCTAACCAATTTTCCAGTGATAATCCAGACATTTCATATTATTCATAGACTGCAGAATTACTGCAACTGAATGACCTTATGTAAACTACCATACATTTCTCACATCTGTGGTTTAGTCATTGACAACAGTATAAACTTCCCTTGGTTATGTTTCTTTTAATGTATAAACTCATTCAATCCCTAGGTTCTTTTCATTAATATTGTCCCCATTTTGTTTGCCTTCTGCCAAGCTGAACTACAGACAACCACGTTTCTCCAAGGAAATGTAGTAAATGAGCAGAGCTCTAAGAAGCAGTGAAATCCTGGAGGTATGAAGATCAACACCCGGCTCTGGGTTGTGTCCTTGGCTGCTCATTAAGGACTTCCAGAGTTGAGTGAAAAGAGCTCCAAGCCACAAGCTGATAAAAGCAATATGCATTTTTAGCAAAAGAACTGAAACTTCTGCAGTTAAAAGACTGATGCCATGAATTTTAGTTTGAAATGTTTTTGTTTTCTTTATACTGTAAAATCCTCAATTTCAGCATAGCATTGATGGAAGTGAACAACAATAACTGCTAAAATAAAACATGAATATGCCTGTCTTATAATATAGCTTTACAATATCTGAATATTAAATCATTTATTCATACTTGGCTTGGAATAGTAATAGGCAGATTCCCAACTTGATGCAATATTAAATTTATTTTGAGGTACTAGCACCTAGGCTGAAAATTGTTCATTCTTAATAGTTACAGTAATAATTTAAAAGGGTATCTAACTTAAAAAGAATCAGAGAAATTTAAATTCTTGTCAGTTCTTGAACTAACCAGAAACCTGGTATAAGTAAGCCTACTTAACTGTATCATTGCAATTCAGCTGTTTCGTTAAAATATTTTTCCCTCCACACAATTTATAATAACTGGACTATGATTTCTCACATCTCAATCAAATAATTATATATTTAAAATGTGATTGGATTGTACTCTGTGGTTTGAGATTTTTTTAGAAGATTATTCACTGATTAGCACTTTTTATACTAGTTGATAATTTAAGAATGCTCATTTAAGTTCATAATTTAAGTATCTTATAATAACAATTACAGAGTATAAAAAAGTGGGGATCATGGGCATTATGCTAAAACAATTTATTTCCTTAATTCCACTAACAATGACTGCTTCAGATGGAAGCTGAACTAGAAAATGAATATCTGAAGCATTCACAGTCTTGAACACTGGCTTCAGTTCTGACTGTGATAAATAAATATCTCTATCCTATTCAAGAAAAATATAAGGAAGTGCAAATAATGCTTCGGTGAATATGATAGCTTGATATACCCTGTCACTGTGTTAATGATTTACTTCAATTTTTGTTACTGCTGTATCACTAAGATGTAATTTAGTCTTACTCTATTTGATTAAAAAATAGGAGGAAAAAGTATCATCCCAAATAGTTAGATTTGGGAATAATTCACAGATGAATTTCTTGAAACATAACATTCCTTTATATGCATATGTAAATGATATGCTGGTGTTGGTATAAATATTACTGTACCAGTAAGTCTGTTCTAAAAGAATGCAAATTGCATTTTTGCTAAGAAGGAAAGGATAGTTAGCCTTAGAACATATTGACAAAGATGTTGAAAGCTTCCAACTTGCTTCTTCCAGTAATTTGGTGCTTCCTTTCTGAGTTTACATGGACATAGCAATATCCATGGATGCATCTCTGATTAAGCATTCCTTTTAAGAAGGCAACTCAAGCCATTTTGGACTTGAGTTTTCCTAGTGATTTTAGCCATTTTTAGACTCCAAAATATTTGAGACTTTTCTCTCTGTGAGGTATAATAGCACACAGAGAAGAATACCATCTATTGCTGGCACTTAATCTGTTTATCGGTCCATTTAAAATACTACACTTATTGTAAGCATTCTTTTTTGCTGAAATAACATCTCCCTGTGCTGTTTTTGCTAGAACGCCTTTTCCAAAAAGGATAACCTAAAATTATAGACTTATTTTTACTTTATTGAGTCCAAGATGAGAACACTTTATACATGCTATGATGGATGAGCTACTGCTTATCTCTTGAATGGAAAATCCGTTTATGAAAATCAAAACTTCTGTAGAGTGGGTTTCTTTTTTTTTTTTGTATTTTTACACACTAGTGTCAGCTCACAGAAACTGGCCTTTAGACTTTCTTAGCTTGTGAGAAAAATCCTGAATTTGAGGTACATGACAATCTGCCCAGCCTTCTTTGGGAAAGAATTCTAAAACAGCTTCAAGCAGTGAGCTGTGCTGTTCTTCCAGGCAGGTATCTAATGATACCTCACTTTTTCAATACCTTCTTTGCCTGTGAAAATAAAAATGCTGGGTGATATTTCACTCCTTCACTGCCTCTGTTTGCATGATCAGTATGAATGTCTATCAGCAGGATTTTCTGCTATGCTTGCTTCTGAAGAAGGCAGGCAGATTCTTCATAATAGGCAGTTTGAATATCAACACTTTTATGCTAATTGTGATGTATGGCAGTGGGACTGATTTGTAATAAAATGTTATTTAATCTGTCTTTGTATTTTGATACTTGAACTATTTCCTTTTTATTTTCTGTATATAAAAGTTATTCTGTCTTTTTTTTGTGGTACCAAACATAACCAATCTGTGCAACAACATAGACTGACCTCACTACAACAAGGCGAGACTGTAAATATTTCTGAGCTTCCAACAGTCGTTTTGTTGTTTGTTTTTCATAACTGTATGAGTTAGAACTGAGTAAATTAATAAAATTAGACATCTCTGTATGAGTTGTGGTATATTAGTCTGTACTGGGTATTTTAAATCTACAATTCTATACAACTGATCTTTTATTGAAAATATTAAAACAAATTCTAATCATAGGAAGGGAATATTAAAGTTACTTTTCCCAATTGAAATAACATATACTAGCTACTTTAAAATCACAGGACACCATTTTGAGCTGTTTAAAGGTTTACTGCAGCAAACTTGGCATTGTCAGTTTGGTATTATTAGCTGTACCTTGCAAGTTCAGTGACCCAGCCATACAAGAGTTTGGGATACAGCAGCAAAGAGTAGGACAGCTGCTCTGTTGATCACATTGGACTTTGCATCAAAGTACTGTCTGAACAATTGCCAGTTTTAATCTCCCCTCTCCTTGCCATCACATGATCTGCCTCGTTAGGTTGTTAAGAAGAAACTTTCCCTGTTTCAGACTTTCCCACTGGAAGCAGCAATTTCTTCAGTATTTCTGAATAGTACGGACCAAATACCTGTCTGTTGTGATGAATCAAACTACCAAACCTCTGACCAATTTCCAGTAGTTCTTCTTGAATAGGAGTAAGGCCTTGCAATAGATTCTTAGCATTTTGGCCACCAGGATACAAACAGTGTCTAAGAAAAGTCTGGATCCGTTGCTCTGTGGAAATTAAGAGAGATTTGGAAATACGTAGACTAGAGTGTTATAATTATAGCCTCACCATTTGAGGCCCTCACTGATTAATAACTGCAAAGTTATATAGAAAAATTCAGGAAAGTGTAACATTTTAAAGAACAGAGATTGTACAAGACACTGATGGCAAAATAATTAACATGTATGTGTTTTAATTATATTTTATAACTCAAGAATATTTAAGTTCATCTTCTGACAGCTTGTGCATTTGGTAAACTGTTAAGATTTTTTTAGACATATTCTACATCCCAAGTAGTACATTTGATTAACACCAATCGTAACAGAAATGTAAGGACTGCATTGGAAATAAAAGGGAATTTTATCTTGTTATAAATGCCCTATATGTTGGAGACATATTCTGCTATCTTACTAAGATTTTCACTAATTTATTAAAACATTGCTTCAATTTAACAATATTTAAATCAAAATTAAAGGTACTTCAGTTACCCATCCAAGCAGGGGCACAATTCCTAATATTGACAGTGTTAAATACTTACAGTACTCTGCTCTGGGAATTTGTATTAAAAATGGCACTCAAACTGCTGCTTCTTGGGGAAATAAATGCAAAACTGTTTTCAAATAGGTTTTGAGTATTCTAGAAACTTTCTTCTATACCAAATAGTCCACAAATTGACCCTATGCCTTATGAATGACATTCATGATTCAGAGTTTGGTGTTGAAATTCATCACTTTTTATACCCAAATAGAAAGCCTTGCATCAAGCCAAACTTGAAGAACTTACCAATTAGAACCCGTACAGCATTGTCTTTATCTCCAAGGCTCCTAAGCTGGCCTTTGAGTGAAGCAGCCTTATCAGTACTGAGAGCAGGGTAACCCAACTGATGAAGTGTGGTATTTACTTCCATGTGTATTTGATTGCTGATATCCACTAACACATTTTCTGATCTAACCATACAATGATAACAAGCATGTTACTATGTCAATTGAAACTTCAATGAAGAGAAAGATTCCTAAAGTACGACACTGAAGGCAAATCAGTTTGGTATACTTTCTCAAAAATATGTTTTTGACAAAAGGTGAAACAAGATTGGGCAACAACTAATTAATTAGAATTAACATATTTGTTCCAGTCTTGTGGAGGGAGATACTGTATGTACATAATTAATGCAAGTGTTCAAAATTCAAATTGTTGCTTTTCCAATGAAAGCCCTATTAAGAAATGTCATTACTCCATAAAGATGGATACATTGTACCAAAGTATTTGTGGGACTGCTGCTGCTTAGCAGACTTGACCATCTGACGCATTTCTTCCCAAAGAACCTGCTAGAGTTCCACCTGTTGCAAGCGAGGAGGGACAGAAATGTTTCTACTTTTGAACAGGAGTGTCAGCACTTTAGCATAGCCTTCCCTTCCAGAATTTGGTCTACCCCTACACTTGTCACCTTTACATCAATTATTCAAAATAGATGTTTACAGAAAGTCTTTAATTTATAAATTTGTATTATATGTTACCATACTGTGTATATTAGATTTCATTTCTTCATATTCAGAAAACATTATTTTAAACTGATGAACATTGTAAACCTCAGTTATGGTGGTGATAAATCAGAGAGTTACAATAAAGCACAGAGCATAAATGGCCAGGAGTAACACTAAACTTTTCTTTTTGTTATATAGTGAGTTTTGGTTTAATTTGTGTGCTTATTTATAGCCATTTCTATCAACCCAATAGTGGGGAAAAATCACTTTTATCACCAAGAATGCAGCAATCTTTATAAAGGTGATTGCTTAGGGCAGGGGTAGGCAACCTTGACTCTTTTATGACTCGTGGACTTCAACTCCCAGAATTCCTGAGCCAGCCATGCTGAGGGGAAAGGGAGAGGTTTCCAAGCTGAGCCATGCTGGCTCAGGAATTCTGGGAGTTGAAGTCCACGAGTCATAAAAAAACCAAGGTTGCTTACCCCTGGCTTAGGGGAATAAATGTGGCTTTCCCCCAATCCCCAAAAAATGTAGCCTATTCATTCTTCTCAAATAATTGCAGGAAACAAAATTATACACTGATCTCTTTGCAGTTAGCATAGGTTAGTGGACAAGATTTAGGTAGGCAAGGAAGCTAGTCTTTTGAGCTTAGCATTGTATACAAACCAGGCCATAATGGTTAGTTCAGCAAGCTTTGGTTTGGTACCATACTGATTCCATAAATAGTGTAGAATGGATGTTGGCTTGATCAATTCTAGTCTTGTAGGTTGCCTTGTTGACCAGCCTTACCTTTCTCTATAGAGTATCACAAGATTTTAGCTCATTATAACCTGCAAGAGAGGGGGCTAGGAAAAGTTATTCCTGTCTTCAGAAATATTGAGATTAGAATAGCTTGCCTTATATCAGGGAGACCTTCCAGAAGAGCTTTTATTACTCTTTTCAGCCTATTGCCACATCCTGGTGAACTGAATAACTCATTTCCACATATATTGCTGCTCACTAATAAGACTGAAGCAATAATGACTAGCTGATTCACTTCTACTTGTAGAGCATGCAAACGTGCTTTGTCCATCAACATAGTCTACAAAGAAAGAATATTCATAAAATCACAAAAAGTGGAGGCTGAAAGAAATCTTGGAGATCACTGAATCCAAGCCCGTCCAGTGCAGGAATCCAATTTTCAGCATCCCTGACAGATGAACCTCTAGCATGTTTAAATACTTTCAGGAAAGGAGAATTTGTATTGGTTGCTGAGCTTTGGGCCTTCCAAAAATGCAGGGCCCAGAACTGGATGTAATATTCTAAATGAGGTCCAACCAATTCAGAATTTATAGGGAACAATTTTGTTTTCTAATGTTGACACTATAGTTCTGTTTATGCAGCCTGGGATTTTTGCTTTTTTAAAAAGATTTTTTTAAATAATTAAAAGTTTTTAAAGCTAATTATTCCCTATTGGTTAGGATCAGATCTAGGACAGCCAATACCCTATGGAAAATGAAACTGAAGAATTTTGAAAATGTAGACATTGACTAAGTTTGTTTCCAGTAGATATCCATATAGTTATAGTCTTCCATTGTGACTGTGTCCATTAGGATTGTGTCTCTCCTGAAAGTTTTATAATCTGGTCCAGAAGACAATATTTAGATTTTCTGTCCGGGTTGCTGATCTGTAGCATGTTTCCACAATAGCTGGCTGGTTCTTTACCTTCCCATATATTCTTATCCAGTGCTCTTCATTGGACCATCATGCTGAAATTTCTGGATACCAGTGCATGCGTGAGCTTCCCTCATAAACATTTAGCTGTTGTGTGGACATTTCTAGCATATAAAGATTAGAGTTGTACTTTGCTGGATTAAGATTATGCTTCCCTGTTTTTTATAATCATTCCTAGTTTTGAGAAAGAATTGTTTTAAAAAAGAACTTTTTACCTCAGGATATTGTTCTCTTCCAGGTTCCCAGTCCAGCAAATCCATGTATGCTTGATTTAACACAGCTGTAGGACTATGAATAAATGAAACTTTTCCAGTGGACATGGGACAAGTGGAAACAGGTGGTCCTTTGGTTCCAGAGGTGGATGAAGAAGGAAGCAAATCAGAATTTGATACTTCGGTTACTGCCCTGCGTAGCCAGTCAGTTGTATAATCTAGACTGTCTGCAGTGATGGATAATTTGGAAAAGAAACAGGGTTAGTTTTTTTTGTAATTTTCTTTCCTTATTTTTTGGATAGATGCTGATTTTTTTTATACATCCAGTGCACTCCATAAATTCTCATATAATTTCTAATTTGTGAAGATATATTCTTAGCATTATATCTTGCCTGTATTTTTAATTACTCAAGTTTAACAATTCAATTTGTTTCTGATTTCAGAAAAACTAGCCTTTTCTGGTTATTCCTTACATAATAATCTTCAGAACTACTGGAGTTTACCCAATTGACAGAAGCAAGAAACATACAAACTCACAGTAGCCTCTCAAGCTCCATAAAGTAACTTGACGAGGACATATTAGAAGATAGGACTCTAAATATCCTGTTATGTATTTCTTAAAGTGTTAATATCCTTGTTGTATTTATCTATGAGTAAACATTGACAAAGGCTTATAGGGTTTTGCTCTGTGAGTTATTAGCTTAGAAAAATGATCTAGCAATTGTCCATTGCTCACTCTTTGATACTTGCCTGGTAGTTTGTTCAGGAGTTCCTGAAATTTTTTCCTTTCGTATTGTACAGAGTGCTCCAAGAGATGGGGTCGAAGGCTTTGTATAGTAAAGTTAGCCATATCCATTTTCATTAGGTTCAGAACTCGGAAAATCTCTCTGTCATAAGTAACAAGATCATTTAGACTGTAATTAAATCATTTTGCAAATCATTCTGCATTGTAATTAAATCACCCTTTCTAGCAATAAGGAATCAAGCTTAGATTTTAAATTGTATTCTAAATTATGTAAAGATTATAGATAATTAGATTATAAATTGTATCCTAAATTCTGTAAGTTTATATCAGAGATGGAGACTCTCTGTAATGAAGACAGCTCATCTGGCATTCATAGCCCAAAACTAATCTCTCTTTCTCAAGTATCGGCTAAAATGCTTTTCTTCTGTCATTGGATTAGAAAAGAAAATGCTGTCCCAACCTCCTGACTCATGGTGTCTATTTTCTTTTTATCAGACAAGCAGGATAAGCAAATTTTCTTTTGTCTATTGCATGAATAATGTTGGGAATGAGCCTTAAGTTACTCTCTTAAATCTCACTGCATATCACCCAATCCTCCTGGTGAAATATAAATGTGAATCTGGCTCCAAATTCCATACCTTTGTTTGAAGTTGAGCAGCCAATAAATTTAAATAAATAAATAGATAAATTAAATTTAAAGTAGCCCATGTGAATCCTATATCCAGTATAGATATATTCATTTTAGTAGCTAAACTTGGAAGCAGATTGTTTTCTTTTTTCAGAGCTGTGCCAATATAGGAAATTGAAAATTCAGGAGCCCAGGCCCACAGCTATTGTTGCATACAGCACAATAATTTAATTCCTAATCTATATCTATGCCTTGCTTTAGGAATAACAACAACAGACGGAAGATCAATGTTTGTTTTACTTTCAGACTTTGTAAAAGTCTGAATTGAACAAACAGGTATTTCTGTGCATCTTTCCTTACTTATAGAGATGAAAAATGGTGAACTGCAAGTTCCTTTATAAAATTAAAGTTGTAGGAAAATTGTTGTGCTACAGGTTATATAGCCTACATCAGTATAATTTTAATAAATAATATATGATTCATATGGGATTATATTTCCTCAAAACTCAAACCTACCTGAGCAAATGAACTGGGTCTGCCATGATTCGCAGACTTTGTATTTCTTCATCTCTGATAGGTGCACAGAGCATTGCCATGGTGCCTAAGATGTATGTAGTGAGGTTGGGGATATCCAAAGCTCCATGCTCAGCTTCTTGCTTTATCAATTCGATGTCTAGTGCTTCTTCAATCTGACTTTTTAAACGTGTTTGTCGTGGCAGAAGCAAAGACAGCAGAGTCTATAAACCAGAATGGAGGACAGAAACAAATACCTTGTAAAAGCAAATGTTCAAACTGATTTTAACTGTTCAAGTTCAATACCTACATTACTGTAATAGAAATGTGATGGCTGAATGAATAGTACGATGTCTCTAATATTGTAAATCACCAACAGATGGCAGTATTGATGTTTTTTAACCTCTTCATTTTAGTTGGCAGAAAGTTGCTGTGAGAAAACTATTTCTGTGAAATGGGACCATACAGTGAATACTCATCAGATTGAATTTTAGACAGCTGAAGGGATCTTTCCAATTGAAATTCATCACCAGGTGCAGGCTGTTTGTTGGTACAAGTAGTTGAGTGCAGGGCCAAAAACTGTAAAGATGTCAATCAGGAAGACTTATTTATGTGACCAAGAGGTAGACAACCTATGATAGCAACAATTTTCACATAAGGTTGATGACTGAACTAAGGATAGTCAGCAGATCACTGAAAGGTAAACTTCTATCAAGCTTGATATTTTGCAATAATATCATCAAATGTTGATTTTTTTCCTTATTTCAAGATGCTGACTCAAAAATAAAAGCTTCAAGAGTTGACATTTGCCAGCAATGGTTGTCATACTATGAAAATGAAGGTGCAGAATTTCACAGCATCCTGTCAGCTGATGAAACAAGGGCTCACCAAGAAACAAAGTATCAGTCCATGGAATATCATCACAACAGTTCAGTTTTTAAAAAAAATCAAAACACAGGCTTCAGCAGGAAATTTCATGTTTTTTTGTGGCAGATTCATATCTATTTCTTTGAACTATCAGCTCAGAATGCTACACTGCAACACTCAAAATTTTGAAACAACAATTCAGCAGGATTCAAAAATACAAGGAAGAATTTTTTCTGCAGCATAATAATAGAAGGCCTCATACCTGAAAAGCCATCTAAAAGGCTTTGAAATTAGTTGAATCGCACTGTCCCCATCCACCATATACCCCAGTATCTAACTAGGAACTAAGTTGAGTCAGGGTACCATGTAACTTCCATCTTTTCTCAAAATTTAAAGACTAATTTTGTGGGCATCTGTTTAACTCAAAAGAAGAGGCGGAAAGGATTATTGGGGCCTGGTTGTAAAGACAAACTATGAAGTTATTTTGTGACAACTTTAAGAATCTAGTCAATCATTCACAGAAGTATGATGAATGATAGTGATTATTTGGAGAATAACAATCTGTAAAGAAAGAACTCATTTCAATAATTATTTTCCTGTTTTACTAATTAAAATAGTCCTATTTAAATTAACTCCTTCATGGATTACTGTCTTGTCATGGCGAAGGGGCTTGCGTAACTCAATGAAGCTATGAGCTATGCCGTGCAGGGCCACCCAAGATGGACAGGTCATAGCAGAGAGTTCTGACAAAATGTGATCCGCTGGAGAAGGAAATGGCAACCCACTCCAGTATCTTTGCCATGAAAACCCCATGGATAGTACCAAAAGGCAAAAAGATATGACACTGGAAGATGAGCCCCTCAGGTCGGAAGGTGTCCAATATGCTACTGGGGAAGAGCAGAGGGCTAGTATTAGTAGCACCAGAAAGAGTGAAGTGACTGGGTCAAAGCCGAAAGGACACTCAGCTGTGGATGCATCTTGTAGTGAAAGGAAAGTCCGATGCTGTAAAGATCTTTTCTCCACAGGAACCTGGAATGTATGATCTATGAATCAAGGCAAACTGGATGTGGTCAAACAAGAGATGAGAAGATTGAACATCAACATCTTAGGAATCAGCGAACTAAAATGGATAGGAATGGGTCACAGGAATCAGAGGACCATCAGGTATACTACTGCGGGCAAGAATCCCTCAGAAGAAATGGAGTAGCCTTCATAGTCAATAAAAGAGTAGGAAAAGCATAACTGGGATACTAATCACCAAAATGACAGAATGATCTTAATGCAAATCCAAGACAAACCATTCAATATCACAGTAGTCCAACCACTAGTGCTGAAGAGGATGAAATTGACCAGTTCTATGAAGCCCTACAACACCTTATAGAATCAATACCAAAAAATGATGTCCTTATCATCATGGGAGATTGGAATGCTAAAGTAGGAAGCCCAAAAATAACTGGAATAACAGGCAAGTTTGGCCTTGGAGTACAAAATAAAGCAGGACACAGGCTGATAGAATTTTGTCAAGAGAATACGATGGTCATAGCAAACATTCTTTTCCAACAACTCAAGAGATGGCTCTACACATGGACATCACCAGACGGTCAACACAGAAATCAAATTGACCATGTACTCTGCAACCAAAGATGGAGAAGCTCTATACAGTCAGTAAAAACAAGCGAGACCAGGAGCTGACTGTGGCTCAGATCATGAGCTTCTCGTTGCAAAAAAAAAAAAAGCTTTTTTTTTTTTTAAAAAAACACTCACATAGTTAACTTTTTGAAAATTCACTGCTGCCTTTGGTGAAGGGGCAGCACTAACTTCAAGCCTTTTAGGTAGTCCTTGTTTAACAATTGCAAATGGTTCCAGCAAAATCGTTGCTAAGCTACATAGTCACTAAACAAACCATGTGCTTGAAAGCGATGCTACAAAGATTGCTGGATGTTGCCATCTCATTCAGATAAAGTTCTCATGTGCAGCAATGCCAATGTTACTCTGACTACAGGGTGCACTGTTATCAGGTACAGAAATTTGGGGGGGGTACGCATTGATAAGAAAATGATTTTTTACTACTGTTTATTACCATTTATACCACTGTATGTATGAACAGTTGTTATCCGATACAATTGCTAAAGAACTTAACGACCACAATTGTGAAGTGAATCACTGCAGTTATTAAGTGAATCATGTGGTCGTTAAGTGAATCTGGCTTTCCCCATTGACTTTGTTTATTAGAAGTCGGCTGGGAAGGTTAGAAATGGTGATCACATGACCCAGGAACTGTCATGAATACATGCCAGTTGCCAAGCACCTGGATTTTGATCACTTGACTATAGAGATACTGCAATGATCATAAATGTGAAACACAGTCTTAAGTCACTTTTTTCAGTCTATTGTAACTTCAGTTACTAAATGAATGGTTGTAAGTTGAGAACTATCTGTACCTGTAATAGTTTTTTTATCACAAAAATTAGCCTGTTAGATATGAATAATGACATTCCCACTCCCCTTTAAAATTTACTTCTTTGATTTCTTGAAGTAGCTTGATAGTGTGAGAATAGTCTGGTGGCACTTTGGAGAGTTGTTCTTTCAGATTATCCCAAAAAGCTTTGTGCACTGTCTCTTTCACTCTGCTTTCTAAACTGTAGTGAGATAAAAGTAGCCATCTGTTAATATTTTTTCTACCTACAATATTGTCTGGAGGCCAAGTTTCATATAACTTTTCACCCCTAGATAAATATTCTTTTTCAGTCCAATCAATACTATAAGGAAATACTAGATCTCATTAGACAGTCCTATGAAAGATAAAGAGTAGGCACACATAAAACATATTTTGGGAACATATAACAGGGAATATCATTATGTTCAAATTTTCTTCCAGACAGCATTAAAACAGTATTCTGGGGAATACTATCTGGCTTTTTGAGAGAACTAGCAGTCCCAAAAGATCATAAAAAGAAAATCCTCTGTACTAGGGGAATTCTAAGCCACCATTCCAGATCGATATGGTTTGAAAAAGAAATGGCACATATTGAGTTCTCCAAAATATTCCATTCCAGGAATAGTAGAGTTTGCACATACTTAAATGGTTTGTTATTATGTCTTGAGAAGATGGGGTGAGAGCTAATACTATGCTACACATCTTGACTGAGAGTGGTCGATAAAGGGCACCTACAGATTTATTAAAAATCAATTTTCTGAATCATGCAAATAAAAACAGGTATGTATCACCACATAATCAAAGAGCAATACAAAAACAATAATCTGCAACATGAATATTTAATCAACAGTTTCAACTTTTCCACTTTCAGTCTTTATAGTAAATGTCAATCTCCTGCCTCTTAATCATAATCTTACATCTTTAATAAAAATTATTTATGAAGCCTATTTGTAATTTTTCAGTCACCAAGTGGTCTGACTACTTCTTGGTTATGCAACTCAAGTTTTTTTAAAAAGTAGTCAAGACTCAGCTTAATAACATTCAATTAACAAAAACAATTGCTTATTTGGCAATAAAGTAATCTAGACATTAACAAGAAGTTGAATGAAAATCATATTCAGCTATATTCGTTAAGAATGACAAACAGCAGACTTTTCCCCCAAGTATTATATGAAGACATAGTTCTATTGGGAAGATTCTAATGCTGGAAAAGATAGAAGGAAAGAGAAGAAAAGGACAATCACCTACAGGCTGCAGTTACTGTAGTAATGAATGCACTTTTAGAAAACCTGAAAAACCAAGTTAGAGAAAAATCATCATGGATAAAATCTCTGGAAAAGATAGAAGGAAAGAAAAGAAGACAACCACCTACAGGACTCAGTTATAAGAATGATGAATGCACTGTTAGCAAACCTGAAAAGCCAAGTTAGAGAAAGATTATCATGGAGAAAATCTATCTGCATGGCTGCTAAGATTTGACAACAATTTGATGGCATATAATCAGTTAAAAATATAGCTTTACGCAAAATTAACTGGAAACATTTGACAACATGGAGAAAAAAAAAACCTACCTGTTTGGTGATAAATTCACTTCTTGCAGTTTGAAGTCATGGTTGACAACAATTTCATGGGCTATTGTCATTTTTGAGACTTCATTCGCTGTTACCATGAGTTCTGAGATAGAATGAATTTGGGGAGAATTGGCTATATAAAAATAAAATAGAATGGTGCTTACTTGGCCCACCAAAGATATCAGGAATGTTTTTAAAGAAATGTACTATTTATAATTAAACAAGATATCATTTTTAATACAAACTCTGCTCATCCTTTCCACTTCTAAACAAGCAAACAAAAGTTTTTTCTTGTCTGTGGTAGACTCTGAGGAATAATTGTATAAGCATGAAATAAAATATTCCAATTTAAAAAATGTTATTAGCAATTTCTATGTATTTCTAACATCACAATCATAAACCTCACAGAAAGCCATTACAAAGTTCTCCAAAGAACAACAAATTATATAAGAATGTTGCTACCACTCAGAATTGATAGTACTTGTCTAGAACCAAAGATTTGAGATCCAAGGATAGAACAAACATGTTTCAAAATCCAAAATTGGACAAAACCAATTATACAGATAGCAGGGATCGGACAATCTTTTCCTGCAAATTTTGAGAATTGCCAGAATGGGGCAGATAAATTTAATATGAATTTCTTCAAATGAAATTATTTTAATACAGAATCTGTATAATTTAACCTAGATTTAGATTATTTTATATTAAGATTTCTCACCTAATGAAAATATTTAAAAAGTAATAATCAGTTTGCTATGTGCTTGGACTTTGAAAAGTGAATAATTTGCACATGTACCACTTTCTGAAAAATTGCATGAAAAATAAAAACTCTCAAGACCTTATTTCATTAGATTAAATAAATAAAGTTTTTAAATAAAAAAAACGGGCCAATTTTTTATTATTTATCTTGGAAATGTCTCTCTGCACTGCAGTTTAATCCAGATTTATTAAAGCACTACTTGTACCACTAATTATGAATCTGAAACAATTTGAGGGGATAGCATGCTATTTTGCCATAATTATTAATGATATTTGATTTTTCTAGCATCAGTTCAAATTACACATACAAGATGGGATATTAGGTGGACAGAGTTTAGGAATGTCTCCACCCTGGGTTTCTTCATGTTCCCTTGGTTTTCTGGAACTACAATCCGTGGTTTGAGCGTCACTGCAGTCACTTGAAGTAGTCTCTTTAGGATTAGGCATCTTGTTTCTAATGGAAAACACAGATTTTAAAATGTCATTGACTATCACATCAGTTTCTAAAGACCATGAAAAATTCATTTTTCTGTACTGAAGCCAGATTACAGAAATTATCAGAAAAAGGTATTAGAAAAAAATATGGCCATTTGTCTCCTAAGACAGATGACAATCGTGAACTTATGCCAAACTGAATCATTAATGGGAAACCTGGGATGGTGTCCCTGGTGGCGCTTTCCTCGGCACCAAACAGGATCGCCGCCCAACATTTTTAAAAACAAGGCAATAATGGGTTATACGACTGTACCAATAAAGGAGACTGTGCAAAGCACAGGTCATTCCATTTTTGAAGGCAATTTGAGTTCTCCCTTAAAATGTTTTCTGCCCCCAATACTCCCCTCTTGGCCGCCTCTCTGACAACGTCTGAAGGCGACCGGAGGCGACGAAGAGGAAAGGGAGCCTCGGGAAGGCGCCGGGCAAGACAGGAGGAGCGCCCGTAACAGGAGAAACCATACAGGCAGAGCGGTGCTC